TTTTGCCCCCCCCCCCCCCCCCCAAAAAAAATATTATAAGCCCTTGATATAGGTAAAATATAAACAAGTCTCATCTACAAAAATCCCAAATAATACATGGGTTTGGTTCTCTGTACAGAAGAAAGTTGATAAAATATTTGAGTCCTGAAAAATGCAAGTTAATTGATCAAAGATATCTGAACCTGGAATTCCAACAAACTGCTGACAATTCCTAAAGAATTTTACTACTTTTATCCATTTTTAGCCAAGAAAAAAGCTCAAAAGTGTGCGTATGCTTAGATCTTAAGTTATGGATGTTTCAGGGAATGGCATAACTCAGCCATATAAAAATGTGCCCAATATCAAATACTCACTAATGTCATTATAACAACAAAAATCAGTAATGGACAGCGTGGCTCTGCTGGTACATTCTGGCCCTAATTAGTTGTGACACAGCATTTGTTCTGGTAAAATGCAACACTGGTGCCAATCTTGAAAACATAAATCAATATTCTCTTAGAGGATCTTTTCCAGAACAGGACAGGGTATAAGGGCCAAGAAAACTGTAGTCAGTGGCAGGTGAATTTCATATTTTGAAAGGCTTCTTGTAGAATCCATAATACTTAATAAGAATTAAAAGTTATTTCTCCTGGTAGAGTTACTGCAGAGATTTGGCTAAACTCTAAGGTTCTATTTGTTGAAAATGTCTTGTCTATTTGTTGAAAATGTATGATCCTGAATGGAAATGTGGATTCAGGATTGCCTCTACAATTTATTAAGACACTAGTATGGTGCATTTTCTACCTTCTCCTAATTGTATTGGCACAATACCAAGAAATTCCAGAGCGAACACAAATGAAAAGAATCATATTTGTGAAGTCACATGAAGAATTTCAGACCTACAATATTGTTATCTACTGCAAGTGAAAACTTCATTTCCTTTCACCACAAAAGGTAACACCGCCAAAACACATTAAAGGAGGAAGCTGGAAGTCTAGGGAAATGGCAGGACAGAGGACTCCAAGATGATGGTGTCTTGGGAGATGGTTTGCTGGAGGATGGATTGCTTTTTTAATTGGATTTTTTATATTAGTTTTTGAATGAAATGCTAGAAGGGCAAAAATTTGAACATGGATGAAAATTTGAAAATTTATTATATACACATCACTAGCTTCCAGGTTCCATTTCAGTAAATCTCAGACTACAAACTCTCATTATATTCCTCAACTGGCCAAGAGGAAATAAACCCATTTAATTGTACTTCATTTACTTTCCATTAACTGGCTTTTGAATCCCCTCTTAAAGACACCAGCTCACTCTCTGCATTGAAAGACACATACTGTATAAATCATACACAGGTTTAGACTGAACTTTCTTCCTACAGAGTTCCTTCATCATTTCTTCTTGATTACATCTCACATCAGCTTGCAATTTGAGCCAATTCTAGATTCCTATTCTTCAAAATTTTTCTTGCTTTTTCTTCTGTGAAGTATATAGGTATAAAATGAGGCTATATTAGTGAGTTCCCAGTGTATCCTAACTTACTAAGTTTATTCTGGGTATGAATGGAGTTTAGAAAGAAATTAATTAAATTGGAAATGAGGGAATTGACTAAATTGTTCAAGATGAAACAGCAAAGATGAGGTATTTTTTGTATAAATTTTAAGAGGTACATTTAGGCACAAAGAAATATGTTTTACTCTGTTTCTTTAGAGAGAGATAGAGTTAAATGTTGAAATATACTCTTTAAAATGATGCTTTATGATATTATGAATTTTAGGAGAGGAGACATAAGAGCTACTTCAGGCTTTACAAACAACAGGAGAAAATTGACTAACAAAATTGTGTTTGTTCAAAATCTCAGAGATAAGACTGATCTAAATGTTAACTATCACAATATTGTATATTTATTATAGGAAGATTTGGCAAAATTAAATAGAAAAATAGAACTGGAAAGAACCACACATCAGCCATTGAGTCTCATTCTTGGTATTTCAGGCAACAGCATCATATAATCACTTCTAAAAACTGATCAAGCTCTATTTTAAAGTGCTTGAGTATCTTGTCTCCTAGACTTCTACTGGAAGACAATCCTAAACCCTCACTGAACTCATTGCTAGAAATCCCCTTCTAAGTTCCAGGATAAATTTATTCATGGCCAGATAATACCCAGTTGTTCTTTTGCCAAAATTATCCTTTAGTTTAAATAGTTATGGTGCTTGCTCCCTAAAATATTTGGAGGGAGAAATCATGTCTCTTCTCATCCTTCATTTTGCTAAGATAAAAATAGGCTACATTTTTTTGGTTATCCAGGTACCGTACTCACATTTGTTAATTTAAAGCTGGATTCTATATCTCTATGCCACACAGTAGGCACATCTACATAAGATGCTTTACTTGAGATCAGAACAAATTACTGCACAGTAAGTGTCCCCGTCTACACATTCAGATGCTTACTATGCAGTAATTTGCTCTAATTGCAAATAAATTTGCTACCTGTAAATACAGATAACAAATTTACTTGGGAGTAATTACTATGCGGTATGGCATGTGTAGATATCCAACTGGGAGAAAATTTGTTTCCGGTCAGCTGGGCAGCAGAGGGCAGAAGATTGCTGCCTGGCCCTGGGAGCTGCCTGCTGCCAGGGTGGGCTTCGCCACTGAAGCCTAAGTGGGGACAATGCCCCCTTACCCTGGTGGCAAGGATCTCTCAGCCCACAGTCTGTGACCACGATGGTAGAGCCTGCTCTGGCAGTAGGCAGCTCCTAGGGCCAGGGAGCAATCTCTTAGCCCCTGCCAGGAGACAACAGTCTCCTGGCCCCATGCTCTCTGACAGCCCCTAGACTGGTACCAAGGGGGAGCCTAGAGCTCACGCTGGCTCTGCAAGTGGCTGGTGCAGGGGCAGCAGGGGTGGGAACAAACTGCTGCCATGAGCAGCAAATCTACTCCTGCTTCTCCACACATGTAGATGCTTGCCCGGGTGCCCATACACATAGATGCCTGCCCGTCTATAGAAGCATCCTGAAGCATTTGCATGTGTAGAGCATTGGCACATGTAGAAAAAGGGTTAGCACTGTTTTCCAGGGGCAGGCCAGAATGATCCAGATTGTGTCCAAGGAGGGCTGACACCAGGACTTGATGACCACCATCATGGTATAGCATGGATAACGTGCCTATACAGCTACCTGTGATACAGCAAACCCCCTCACAAAATTGTGCTGAAGCCCCTGTTTCCCCAGCCACATATGGCCAATGGGTTAGTTTGCCAACCTCTGGTTTAAAAGTCCTTGCAATGTGAATGTAGCAGAGAATGAAATAGCTTTAAAATGAGATATTTTTGGTACTGAAAGCAGCCTAGGCACAGCAACACATCATACTCTGCATTACAGATGTATCCTGTGTTTCTGCTCCATTAAAATTACCTTTCTTACCAAGACTTATTTTTCTTTAATGTGGGGCAACCAGAATTGGCCTCTCTACTGCTTCTACCTGATGACTCCTCAGCTTATAGCAGACATTTTTCTTATTCTTCATTA